GAGGAGGAGGAGGAGGAGGAGGAGGAGGAGAGCGCCATCGACAGGGAAGGTGGGGCCAGGAGGTCCGCCGGATCGACGACGCCCGCGTCGCCCGCGCCCGCCCCCTCACTCTTATCCGCAATTGCGGGGTGCTACGTATATTTCTCGGCTGCCTCAGAGACATCTTCCAACCGGCCGAACCCCATGACAGAATGATGCGAATGGCGGATGGAGAGGGCAGGATGGAGGAGGAACCGTCAAAGTCTTGCCCCCGAGGTGGGCGTTCACGGCGTTCATTTCCCCATTGCCCAACTCTCCCACTTCTGAGTCGACCGTTCTTCGGACTGCGCATCCTTTGCCATAGAGGGCGGTACGCGTGAATGGACATAAACGCCCACGTCCTCTCTAGCCCAGCTGCCATGGTGAAAGAGACGTGATGCCTGCCCCCCACAGCCCTCGACCCCATTTTCGGGCGGGATTTTCCCGCACCGCATCCTCCGCGATGGCCCCACGGCCCGAAGCACGGGCCCAAGCCCAGACATGCGACGTCGCGATTGTTTCACAGCGCGGACCCCCAGGGAGGGGGAGGAGGATGAGGAGGAGGAGGAGGAGGAGGAGGAGGAGGAGGAGGAGGAGGAGGAGGAGGAGGAGGAGGAGGAGGCGGAGGAGGCGGAGGAGGAGGGAGAGGAGGAGGGGAAGGAGGAGGAGGAGGAGGAGGAGGAGGAGGAGGAGGAGGAGGAGGAGGAGGAGGAGGAGGAGGAGGAGGGGGAGGAGGAGGGGGGGAGGAGGAGGAGGGGGAGGAGGAGGAGGAGGAGGAGGAGGAGGAGGAGGAGGGAGGAGGAGGAGGAGGAGGAGCCAACGCCTCTGAGGGGGAGGTAAGCGTCTCTGTCTAGGCCGCGCTCGCCGCGCTGCCATCGGCCTCCGCGGGGCTGGCCTCAGGGGCACCCCGAAAGGAGGAAGAGGAGGAGAGGAGGAGGAGGAGGAGGAGGAGGAGGAGGAGGAGGAGGAGGGAGGAGGAGGAGGGGGGGGAGGGGGAGGAGGAGGAGGAGGAGGAGGAGGAGGAGGAGGAGGAGGAGGAGACCACGCCTCTGAATGGGAGGCAAGCGTCTCTGTCTAGGCCGCGCTGCCTCTGCCCCCCGCTGGGCCTGGCCTCAGGGGCATCTCGAAAGGAGGGTAGAGGAGGAGGGAGGAGGAGGAGGAGGAGGAGGAGGAGGAGGAGGAGGAGGAGGAGGAGGAGGGGCCCCAGAGGTCTGGACCGCTTCCCCAAGATCCGTCTCTCCTCCCCGGGTCCTCTGGTGGACGGCCCCATGGCCAGGCGAGGGCCCCCAGAGGCCAACGATGGCCGAACATCTCTCCTGTCGTGAGTCTGCCGCGGCGAAAGCAGGCGGGAATCTTGATCCCCCCAAGGGGCCCCGACCCCCCCACCAAAGGGGCCTTTTGGCGCAAGATACGCGATGCTTCGGTGACGCCGCCCAGGCCGTCTGCCGCAAGGGCGTGGCCCGGGTGCTGAGGAGTAGGCGAATGATCATCCGCCTCCTTCGTCCTCGCTTTCATCCTCCTCCTCCTCCTCCTCCTACTCCTCCTTTCTCCTCCTTCTCCTCCTCCTCCTCCTTCCTCCTCTCACTCCTCCTCCTCCTCCTCCTCCTCCTCCTCCCTCCTCCTCTCCTCCTCCTCCTCCTCCTCCTCCTCCTCCTCCCCCTCCCCCTCTCCTCCTCCTCTTTCCTCTCCTCCTCCTCCTCCTCCTCCTCCTCCTCCTCCTCTCTCCTCCTCCTCCTCCTCCTCCTCCTCCTCCTCCTCTCCTCCTCCTCCTCCTCCTCCTCCTCCTCCCCCCCCCCGTCGTGATTCTGAGCGTGGCTCCAGAGCCCCCCAAGTCCTCGACGGCTGTGGCTCCTTCACGACCGTACGCGCGGGGCAGAGGACCCGCCGCCCCCACCCAGGGCAGCAGCAGCGGCCAGCGCCAGTCCCAGGGCGTGGCACCGAGCCCGGGGCTCTCCTTGGAGGGGCCCTGGGCGTGGCGCGTGGGCCAGCGCCTCAGGCTGTCGTCGGGGCGGCCCGTGGTTGCCCAGGCCCCCTCGCGTCGTGAACCCAATCATGACGGGAGGTTTTTTCCCAACCATCCTGCGGTGTTGAGTCCTCGTTTTGGAGGGACAGCCAGCGCCCCGCGCCTCCTCCTCTCCTCTCGTCCATCCTCCTCTCCATCCTTTCTCGTCCGATCCGCGCCTCTGCCCTCCGCATTCCGCGTGTCAAATTTCGACACACCTCTCACACGCTTCGTGGCCCCATAGGGGGCTCCACCGAAGGCCTCAGAGACGGTGTCCGCATGCGGTTCTCCCACTCAGTACAGCGCTTCGTGGCCCATAGGGACCACCCAATACAATCTGTCGTGGCCCCATAGTGAGCTCCACCGAAGGCCTCAGAAGCGGTGTCCGCATGCGGTTCCCGCACCCAGTGCGGGTTTTGGAGCCCCATGGGATCTCCATCGAAGGCCTCAGTGGCCTTGTTCGCAGAGGGCTTCCCCACCCACTCTGACGCTTCGTAGCCCCATAGGGAGCTCCGCCGAAGGCCGTAGTGGCGGTGGTCGCATGCTGTTCCCCCACTCAGTACAACGCTTCGTGGCCCGACAGGGGGCTCCGGCAAAGGCCTCAGTGGCGGTGTTCGCATGCGGTTTCCCCAGCCAGTACATCGTTTCGTGGCACCAGAGGCACAGAAGGACTCAATGGCGGTGCTCTCATGCGATTCCCCCACCAAGTACAACTTTGTGGCCTCATAGGGAGCTCCACCCAAGGCCTCAGTGGCGGTGTCGGCATGCGATATTCCGCCTAATACTCATTTCGTGTCATGGGGAGCTCCACCGAAGGCCCCAGTAGCGGTGTCCGCATGCGGTTTCCCCACCAGTTCAATGCTTCGTGACCCCATAGGGAGCTCCACCGAAGGCCTTAGTGGCGGTGCGCGCGAACGCCTCCCCACCCAGTACAGTTTGTCGTGGCCCCATAGGCAGATCCACCGGAGGCATCAGCGGCGGTGCCCGCGAACGGTTCCCCCACCCAGTACAGTTTGTCGAGGCCCCATACGGAGCCCCACCGAAGGCCTCAGCGGCGGTGTCCGCGTGCGGTTCCCTCATCATGCACAACTTCTCGTGGCCCCTTCACCGAAGGCCTCAGTGGCGGTGTCCTCATGCGGTTCCCCCACCAAGTGCGGGGTTTTAGGGCCCCATTGGAGCACCACCGAGGGCCTCAGTGGCGGTGTTCGCAGAGGATTCCCCCACCCAGTACAACGCTTCGTGGCCCCTTAGGGAGCGCCACCGATGGCTGAGGCGCAGTGTTCTCGTGCAGTTCCCCCACCAAGTACATCGTTTCGTGGTCCCATCGGGAGCTCCACCGAAGGCCTCAGTGGCGGTGTCCGCATGCGGTTCCCCCACCCAGTACAGCGCTTTGTGGGCCCATAGGGAGCTCCACCGAAGGCCCCAGTGGCGGTGTCCGCATGCGGTTCCCCCACCCAGTACAGCGCTTCGTGGCCCCATAGGGAGCTCTCCTTCGCCCCGCCCCATTGCGGCGCATCCCTCTTACGTTTCGCTGCCCCATAGTGGGTTCCACCTAAAATCACCAGTGGCAGCGCCAACATAGCGGCCCCGCCCCATATCCGCACACCCTTCGCATGCTGCATGGTCCATGAGGAGATCCCCCGAAGGCGATGACACAACGATGGTTCTCGCAACTGCATACGGTTGGGTCCTTCGCCCGGATAATTGTTATTGTTCGGCCTGCCTGGGCCCCTGCGGGGCCTCAGGGCCGTCAAAAACTACGACGCACGGTGAAACGCTGGTCCCCAGGAAGGGGTCCAGACCTCTGGGGGTCCACGTCATGCGCAAAAATACGACGTCGGGGGCCTGGGCAAGACAAAGCCACGAATGGGACAAAGTCAGCCTGGGGCAGATCGGGGATCTTTAAGATCCTGCGATTCTGGAGGATGCATCAGGCGCCGCAGCCTTCCCAGAGCGCCCTGGAGGGCTCTGAGAGCGTTCCGGCACACTCTGGAGCGACTTGGCCGCCCGAGCTCCGCCCGACGTGGGCCACTGCCCAAGAGCCCCATTGACATGAAGCAAACGCATCCTGAGAGAAACAGGTCCTGGACCCCAGACCTCCCTCCAGGAGCCATTCACTGTGGAGGGAGAAGATGGGGGCGGACCACCTGCCTCCACAGCTGGCGCCAAAACCCGTGCTGGAAGCTGTGGCGGACCAGCAACTCGCGCTACACGACGCAGCTGTTTTACCGACAACCTGCGCGCCAAGGACCCGCGCCACTGGCCCTCGCGGCCGCCTCCCCCTCCCCCTCCTCCTCCTATTCCTCCTCCTCCTATTCCTCCTCCTCCTATTCCTATTCCTCCTCCTCCTCCTCCTCCTCCTCCTCCTCCTCCTCCTCCTTCCTCTCACACCCATTCCCTGCTCCTCAGACTTTTGCTCTCCTCCTCTTCTGCGCCTTCACGCGACCTCGGCACGCGCAGGGGCCGCAATCGAGCTCGTCGAGGTCTGCAGATCGGAGACGGCCGAGGGGCGGAGGGGCCGTCCCGGGGCTGCTCTCGGGAGCTCCTCCGGGGCCCACGCGGTGGCCCACGACGCCGGCAGCCGCTCCCGGGACGCCTCCGTGAGAGCCCTCCGCGGCCATCGGGCCCGATTGCGGGGCCACGCGACCAGATCAGCTCGGACTGAGCCCAGCCCGATCAAGACATATGAAACCGGATTCCGCGGGATTCCAACGGGATTCCACCAGATGATGCCCGATCTCCACAGCACGGATGTACCAGCGCCGCTGCTGAATGAGACCTCCTAGGAGTTGCATCCTAATCTGGGTAAGGTCTGCTGCTGTGACGCGGGCTGTCGACCCCCGTTAGCGGTGCCTTTCGTACTGAGCTGTCACTTGGCCTCGTCCACAGGCCCGAGCGTATTCCTGCACGGTGACTTCTGCCTTTTCCAGCACGCGAGGAGGCGGGGGGCGGGATGCAGGTAGGCGGAGCGACATGCTGCCTCGAACGGCGGCGTGTAGATCTCGCGCTGCGTGCGCTCGTCGACCGCAATGTTCATGGTTGTCTGGTAAATGTCCTCGCAGTGCACAGCGATACTAATACGGCGCACGACCACCGAGCCGACTGGGCTGGAAAGTGCTCAAGACAATCGTAACTGCCTTCGCGTTGGGAGACCGAGCGGCCTTTCACGGGGCAGCGCAGCAGCAGGGTTATTAAATACCACCAACCTTCTGGGCGTAGGTGGTCCAACGAGATTTTCCGTTCCTCTTTCAAAACTCTGATCCCTTCGGAGAGGGGTGCCTTCCCCCTCCCCCCTCCATCCGTGTGTTTCGCCCAAAATGGTTCCAAGAGGTCCTCCAATGCTCCAGATGGCCCCCAAGATGGCTCAAGAAAGCAGAAAAATGTTCAATCTGTTCCGACACGCCTCCAAGGGGCCTGCAGAGGACCACAAGACGGCTCCAAGTTCTCTCGGAGCGCCCGCGGGACTTCCCCAAGAGGCCTCAATCCTTCAAACACTCAATCAGTTGCGCATTCTCGCCTTTCGCTTCCGAGTCGGTTTTGAGGCCTCCCGATGGCCCCAAGATGGCCTAAGAGATCCCCAAGATAAACCCAAGAGGACCCAAAGACGGCCGCGACACCGCCCAAGAGCGCCCCAGGAGGGCCCCACGAAATGCCCAAGAGGCGATGTTGAAGGCTTCCGAGGGGGCCTGGATTGAGGACCCCCCTTCCTCTGATCTGGTGGGCTTGTTTTCCTCGGCAAACACCATAAGTAGGAGGCGAAGGGGGTCCTCTTCCTCATCGTCGTCCTCCTCCTCCTCCTCCTCCTCTTCCTCTTCCTCCTCCCTCCCCCTCCTCTCTCTCTTCCTCCTCCCCATCCCCCTCCTCCTTCTCCTCCTCCTCCTCCTCCTCCTCCTCCACCTCCTTCCCTCCTCCAATTATGGTGGTGGTGGTGGAAAACAGGCCCATCATGATCGACGTCCTCCAAGGTAGCCCCAAGCGACCTCCAGGGCTCCCAAAAGTGAGGCGACGACGTTACGAAACCTCGGCGGGCCCATTCAATTTCTGTGCAACAAGGGTGGAACCCCTAAGTGCACACACCCTGTGCGATAGCAACACTTACCAACCACATACGCACATCAACCTTGCTGTCAGAAATCGTGGGGCACATGTTTCGCCGATCTTTGAGCGTCCCAAGGTGTCCCAGAGCTTCTGTGGGTCCCTGGGGCCATCGGGGGATCCGGCATCTCCTTGGGGCACCTTTTGGCAGGCTGATTTATGATCTGATGTGTCTACTGGGTATATCCGCCACCGTGTCTGCAGCACGTTGGGGCGTGGAAGACTGCCAAGTGCTGGCTGGCAAAGCTTCTGTAATCCTCAAAGGGCCCACCCACCCGTCACACCCGCGCCCAAGTACCTGCATCGCCCCTACTACCGGGGGTCTCTGGGCGGCCATGACGCCTGCCTGGGACTCTCCAAGGCTTCCATGACGGCCCAAGAGGCCCACAAGACGGTCCAAGATGGCCCCGAGTCGCCGAACGATCGCTCGAAGACGCCCAAGATGGCCTCAAGATGGCCAGAGAGGCCTCTAAGACGCTTCAAGAAGCCTCCAAGAGGCCTCCCTGGAGGGCCCCAAGAAAGAAAAATCATTGATTGCCCTTGGGCCTTTGAAAGATTTCGGCGTTCTCGCCTTTTCGGCTTTCCGACGCTAAAGGACGGCCCAAGAGGCCCCCAAGGCCCCCAACACATCCCAAGAGGCCTTCAAGAGGCCCCAAGACGGCCTAAGAGCGCCCCAGGATAGCCAAAAAAGGCCCAAAGACTGCCCCAGAAGGGTCCCACTGTGGGAAGCACGAACCGAAAATGCCCCAGGACGGCCCCAAGAGGCGCCCAGAGGCCCCCAAGAGGCCCCAAGAGGCCTCCAAGAGGCCCCCAGAAGCCCCCAAGAGGCCCAAAAGAGGCCCCAGGAGGCCCCATCACGGCCCCAAAGGGGCCTCAAACGTGCCTCCAAGAGGCCCCCGAGAGGCCTCCCACAATATCCCAACGAACATCCAATAGACTTCGTACCCACAACCCAGGCACGGTGGTGGGACTTGCCGAAGGCAGCTGGATTAGTCGAGGAAGCACCGAGCCCGACGGATTTTGTGATTCAGACACCCACAGTCCTGAAGGCACAGAGGCCGCAGGCACTAGATTATCGACTGTTCACGTCGGCTTGCGGCAACGAAGCGGCAGCGGGGCGGGCGGGTGCCGCAAGCGTCCGTGGGCCACTGGAGAGAGGAGTGACGATGGAGGAGGGGCGGCCTCCTCAGGCGACATCCTCGCTGCTGAGGATCTCCAGTGCCTGCTTCAGCGACTCTATCTCCTCTTTCCTCGCCTTCGCGCGCTCCCCGAACGTCATTCCCTTGTCAAGGCACTGGGGCACAAGCGTCTCGTAGTAGCGATCAGCAGCCAGGAGCTTATCCTGCGTGAACTTCAAGTCAGCGACGTCGTCGTTCATCCTAGATTGGGCGGACAACTGGTCCTGCGCATTCATCTCCTTCTTCCTGGTCTTGACAGCAATGTCCTTCTTTGCCCCATTCATGAAATCCTCATACGCCTTCGCCGAGATCGCCTCCGAAGACTCCGTGTCTGCCTTCAGCGTCGCGAAGTCCGAGGCGATGACGTCAAGCATGGCCAGCACACCGCCAGCCTCGTCCTGCTGGCCCTGGTAGACGGCGCCGAAAGTCTGCATCCCCTTCTTGTGGCCTTTGTCCATCTTGTCGAAGTCGTCCGTGCCCAGCAGCTTCCACTCCTCGGAGCCCATCGAGACGCCAAGCTCGCCGCCGGCCTCCTTCTTGGAGGAGCCGTAGGGCTGGCCAGCGGCCAGCTGCACGAAACCGGTCGCCATGGAAGACTTCTTGTAGAAGTCCTTCAACACAGCGACCGCTGCGGCGACGGCCTTGGAGGCGTCCACGGCGTCGCTCACGGTCTCCTCGTTCTTCTTCTTCTCCGCGAAGCGGAGGTCGGTGGACTCCTTCATGGCCGCCCGGAGCTCGGAGACATCCTGCTCCAGCTCCGCGATCTCCTTTGTCAGCATGGCGATGGTGGCCCTGCCGTTCTCGACGTCAGCGGTGAGGCCGTCGATGGTCTCGGACAGCTTGTTACGGGTGACCTTGCTCGCGCCCATTTCCTTGTCGCAGAAACCCTCGTGCTCCGCATCCTCGTGCGCCTCCTGGTTCAGCCTCGTTATCATCTCTTCAATCATTTTCTTCACCTTGGCGAACGGGTCCGCCTCCAGTCTCGACGCGAGGAGGCCCAGGTTCTTGCTGTGGAGCTTTTGGCTCTGGGCGAGGAGGAATTCCCGGACCTTGCGGCGAATGCCGGTCTCCACCGTGGAGTCCTTGGAGGCGCCTCGGCCTACCAGCTGCGCCAGTGCAGATGCGTGTGCGCCGCGCTGAGGCAACGCGAGGTGCGTGGCCCCGGATGAAACCTCGTCGCTGGAGAGAATATCGATAGCCTTCTCCAGCGCCTGTATCTCCTCCGCGCGCAGCTGCTGCTTCTCTTCGAAAGACTCCGACTTCTCCGCACACTCCACCTTGGTGTCGGCGAACAGCTTCTCATCGGACACCTTGACATCTGCCAGAGAGACAGCCTGCTTGGTCAGCTCGGCCGCCTTGCCCTGCTTGTCAGACATGAGGGCGGACTTGGTCCCGATGCTGTCCTTCGCATTCTCCATCGAAGCGGTGAGGTCCTGGCGGACCATGTCGAAGGCGTGCTGCGCATTCATCTCCTCCTTCTCGACCTCTCAAACGAAGCCAGGACGCGGATAGAATTGGGTGAGGGTACATTGAGAATCTTTGAGATCTGACAGCTCTGGAGGATGTCTCGGGCGCAGAGGCTTTCTCAGAACGTTCACTCATCGGGGCTCCCTTGATCGGGGGTCGGCAGACCGGGGGCTGGGGCCTTGTATTTTGCAGCTGTTTCGGGCGCGCAAACCCTGACTCCCAAGGGCCCTGTCATGCGCCCAGCCCAGATGTTCAACATGATTTCCACACCGCACCCAATATCCCACAGGGGCGGCTCGTGGCCGGACGAACCCACACTTGCAAGAAACAAAAACTGCAATGCAGAAAAAAAAAAAAGGCATTGCAATTTTTCAGATGTCCCGCAAAAGTGCTGCAGAACAAAAAAGCTGCAGTACAGAAGAAAAATCCTGCAATGCAGAACAATCTGCATCGGAAAGGTCCTGCGGCGGCAGCGCGGCTTGCCTGGCCCTGGCTTGGCTCGCTGAACGCGGCTTGCGAGAAGCTCGCTTGCTTCGTAACGCAACCGAAAAAGGTGCCGTGGCAGGCCGGCTCCGTTCCGGAGGCCTTATTAAAGGGCATAAGAAGAAAGTCCACCCCGGGTCTGCCAGCCCCAAGTCTGTGTTCCCACGAACTCACGCTCTGAGAGCGTTCCGGAACGCTCTGAAACGGATTTACCTCCGCGTCCTAGCCCCGCCCCAACCTCGCCCTTCTTCGAGACGAACTCGTCCAAAAGCCTCTTCAGCATCTCCACGATGCCGCCGGACTGGAACTCGTACGCGTTCGCCTCCGGCGCCTCGTAGTCCAAAGGGCTGGGCTCTCGGCGGGCCTTGCCCGCCGCCCCGTGCTCGAGCAGGCTGGCCCCTCGGCGGTTCACGCCCTGCACGCCCGCACCGGTGAGCTCCATCGCGGTCTCGATGACGGCCCTCGTAAGACAAAGCCAGGACGAGGATGACATCGGGCGAGGGTGAATCGAGAATCTCTGAGATCTGGCCGCGGCCTTCTCAGAGCGCCGCGGCCAGATCTCAGAGCGTCTGGAGAGCCGCGGCCTTCTCAGAGCGTTCTTGAACGCTCTGGGAGCGTCCCGGAACGCTCTGGAACGGATCTATCCTCGTTCTGGCTCCCCGCCCGACCTGATCTTGTCGGGCATGCCGGGCAGGTTGCTCGCCTGCCGGCCACACGCAGGAGTGACCCCTGGCAAGAGTGGCCTTTTGGTGCACGGCCCGCCGATCGCTGCGGGCGATAGAGCTGTGGCGGGCTGCGTGCTGGACTCTGCACCCCGGCGTGGTATGTTATGGCTTTCGGGTTGTGCACAGACGCCCCACCCCGCTGGTCCTGGCTAGCCTCAGCAGAGCCCCCCCGAGCATTGGCGGCGCACAGAGGGGGGTAGGGGGAGGGGGGAAGGCTTCTTAGAAGCAGCCCTGCTTCTTACAAGGCGCTGGCCCTACATCTGTAGACAAGGCCCGCGCCTTCTAAGAAGCAGGGGTGCTTCGAAGAAGCCTTCCCCCCTCCCCGTACCCCCTTCTGCGAGTGGCTGAGAGTAGCACCAGCGGCCTCAACAGGCACCCCGAGTAGTCAGGGGCGGTCTCAACACCCTGCTGCCGCCTCCGACAGCGCCCCTGGGGCGCTCCGCGCCTGAGGGTGGAGGTGCTGAGACCGCCCTGGGCTACTCGGGGGGCCTGTCGAGGCCAGCTGGGAGCTGCCTGAGCGCAACCCGAAAGCACCCGCGCCCCTTGAGAGCCGCGCACCACCAGAGGGCACTCCGGCGCAGGGCCCCCCTTGCGTGCACACCGAGCCTGGAGGAGCGAGGCCGCGGCCGGTACGTCGGCGGACCTCGACTGCAGCACCACGATGGCCCTCTCCAGCGCATCCACGCTCTCGCCGTAGTCCTGCTGCTCCGCGAGGAAGTCCTTGTGGCCCTTCTCCCGGTCGGACGCCTGGGCCTTGAGCTCCGCGTCGTAGCCGGCCACGTCGCTCTGGAGCGTCGCGACCGCCTCGCCGAGCTCCTTCGCGTCGGCCGCGAGCCTGGCGGACTCCGTCTGAATCTTCTCCAGCTCCGAGGCCTCCTTCTTGATCTGCTCGTCGAGGCGGGCCTTCTCGTGGCCGCACCACTGGCTGAACTTCGCGAACGACACCTCCTCCTCGTTCTTCATCTGCTTTGCCTTGGACGCCATGTTGGTGAGCATCTCGACCACCTTCTGCAGCGCCGTGCCGCGCCCAGAGGACGCGAGCGCTGGCGCCGCCAGCAGCACCAGCGCCCTCCACACGATCATGAGCTGCATTACGACCGGTGGGGCAGGGCCCTGGGCTCGCGCAGGTGGTCGCCGACCCGCTGGAGCTCGGGCCGAGATGGGCACGCAAAAAGGGGAGGAGTCCAGGAGGCGGAGCAGCAGGAGGAGGAGGAGCAGAATCAGTAGGACGAGACCCTTGATGGGGTAAGGAGGATGAGCAGCAGGGGGAGGAGAGGGCTCCATCTCGCCCCACAAACCCTAGAATGTGCAACCACAATGCCCCTGAAGGGACCCTGAGACGACCAGAGCTGGCCACGAGCCTGGCAGCGCCCTAGTCCAGTACTGGCGAATACCATGTTCGGAGAATGGCCGCGAGGGGCCGGGCCTGGGGACGACGTGCCTCGCGGGTCCCATGGCCTGCTCAATCCTTACCTCCCCCGCGCTCCGCGACCCCTGACGACGGTGGTGGTGGGTGGAAGGGCATCTTTGTCGAATTCGGAGTGCTGGCGTCTTGTTTTCGCAATTCTAACCAGAAGGGGCTGAGGGCTCCCCGCGTACTCACGGATGAAGCCTGAACTGCGATCGGCTTGCTCGAATTAATGAGGGGACCCAGGGGCACACAAATTCGCCGGCCCAACGGGCCAGGGCGTGCTAAGATCTCCGGTAACTGGTTAACAGTATTAACAGTATTTCTAGTTCGCGCGCGCGGGGCGGCCCCTGGGGGTCCCCCGGCGAAAAGTACCCCGACCAACGCCCGGTCGCCGCCCGGTCGCCGCCCGACCGCCGCCCGACCGCCGCCCGACCGCCGCCCGACCAAGTCTACTCAGAGATGGTTTTCCTTCTGGGTGCGGCCTCTCAGGCTCCCCAGAGCGCGCTCAGAGTGCCCCAAGAGGCCCCCAAGACTGCCCAAGAGGCCCCCGAGACGCCCAAAGAGCGCTCGAAGACGCCGAAGATGACCCCAAGACGGCCCAAAAGGCCCCCAAGACAGCCCAAGAGGCCTCCAAGACGCCCCAAGAGCCTTCCAAGAGGCCTCCGAAGAGAGCCCCAAGAGGCCAAAATCGTTGATTTTCATCGGTTTTTTCTATGTTTTTTGTGTTCTGGCTTTTTCGGCTTCCGGACGCTCCAAGACGGCCCAAGAGGCCCCCAAGACCGCTCCAAGACGGCCCACGAAGCTCCCAAGACGGCGCCGAAACGACCCAAGAGAGCCCTCAAGACGGCCCAAGTGCCGCCCAAGACGGACCAAGAGGCCCCAAGACGGGCCCAAGAGGGACTCAGGAGGGATACCGAGAACTCAAAAATGGAGCCCTCCGTCCCAGAAGGCGCCCAGGAGGTCCCAAAGAGGCCCCAAGAGGCCTCCAAGAGGCCCCAAGATGTCGCCAAGAGGCCCCAGGAGACTCCCAGGAGGCCCAAAAGAAGCCCCAGAAGGCTTCAAACATGTCTCCCAGGCGCCCCCGAACGGCCTCTCAACAGACCCCAAGAGGCCCCCCAAAGAAGCATCTTGACGACGACTCTATTTCGCCCCATCGAGAGACGACCCCCAGGGAACTGCTTCACCATCAAAACTCCCCACGCAACGCGTCCGAACGACACCCGCCCCCAAGAGCGCAACATGGGCAACGAACACACAGACAAAAACCAGCGATGCCATATCACGGGCCGGCGGAATGAGCGAAGCGATTCAATAAATACACGCAAATAACAGGATACCATATATTTTCCTATCTTTTCTGGGTTTTCGTCTTCCCCCCCACTTCCCATGTTTTCCTATATTTTCTGGGGAGTCGACGATTAATTGTGTCTGTGTGTTTCTTTCCCCCCTCCTCCTCCTCCTCCTCCTCCTCCTCCTCCTCCTCCTCCTCCTCCTCCTCCTCCTCCTCCTCCTCCTCCTCCTCCTCCTCGAATCAAATTCATCCCATCCTCCCGACCCGTGCCCCTACTCCCACTAGCCGCCAGCCTGGAAAGGACGCCGGCCTGGGCCAGGTCAGTCCTACGTAGGCCCGCTCTCATCTCCGCCCAGAAGAATCCGCTCAACACCGGCCGCAAGACCTGCTCTACCATTCATGTTGCTCCCATCGTACTGAAAGACCACATCCCAGAAATAATTTCGAGCACCCGGAGAAGTGTCGACAGAGTGTCGAAGCAATGTCGGGCGAGTGTCTCCCAGGACCCGACACGTGAAAACCCTCGAGTTTCGGTATATTTTTCTGGTGCTCGAAGTTCTTTCTGGTGATCAAGGCTAAAGTCGGTTGGAACATCATAATTCGACCATGTGAACCGCACGTATATTCACCAAGGTATGCGGGACATCGCCCCATATATAGTGTACGTCGTTTGTTGTTGAACGTCCCACGGTCGCGAACCAAGCTCGATGGCGGTTGCGGACATCGCTTGGTGGTCGTGTTCCGGCCCCCCGTACCAGGCACCATTACGCCATGCTTATCGAGCCACGCCCAGCCGTTGCGACAGGGGGTAACCCCGAATTCCCAGGAGAGCGAGGAGCAACGATGGGGGGACTGACTCGCCGATAGATCGCCGACAGGCCCCCCATTGCGAAGCCGCACAACTCCTGGGCGTGCTGGGCTATCAGGCCCCTACGGGCCATCGGGCACACGGGGCCGATGCGTTCCTCACTGACCCCACGGTCAGAAACTTTTGCTTGGCATGTCACGGCGGCGGCCCCGGCGACACGCTGTGCCTGTCCAGCGGTTGGCCTGTCGCTCCCATCCGCGCGGCGGGAGGCTGGGACCGGCTCGGGACGCTGAGCGCCTGAGGACTGGGCAGTGGCGAGGCGTGTGGTGAGCCACACTGCGGCGCGACGCGCTGAGCCGAAGTAATTACCAGATCCCACCAGCCCTTTGGGCGTGAGTGGTTTAGAGAGCCCGCTCTGTTCTCAACCCCCCTTCTTCCCCTTCGGGGAGGGGTTTAGCCCTCCCCCAACCCCCTCCCCCTGGGCCTGGAGAGGGCGCCCCGCGGGTGGTTGGAGGGGTCTTTTTCGACTCCTGGGAGGGCTAAAAAACGACACCCTCACGAGGATTCTGGCCCCGACGGGGGGAGGCAGAAAAATGTTCCCCTCTTCTTTGAAGCCAGAATCATTGATTTTACAACGGTTTTGGCCCCATTTTGGCCTTCTGAGGGGGCAGCGCTAATTAAAGCTCCCCTCTGCTTTCAAGCCAAAATCATTGATTGTACTAAGGTTTTGGCTCCATTTTGGCCTTCTGAGGGGGCAGCGCTAATTAAAGCTCCCCTCTTCTTTGATCGATTTCCTCCAATATGGCCCCAAGAAGCGCCCAGGAGGCACCAAGAGGCCCCAAGATGGCCCCAAGAGGCCCCCAGGAGGCCCCCAAGAGGATCCCAAACGGCCCAAAGAGGCCCCCCCGAGGCACCCAAGACGCCGAAAAGCCCATCAGGACGACCCTCTACTCGCCTGGGCGTCGTTTCTGGACGGGCAGGAGGAGGGGCCCGAACGACTCACACCAGGACGAGGGGCCCGAACAACTCACACCACGAGAAGCCCGAACGACTCACACCAGGACGAAGAGCCCGAACGACTCACACCACGAAGAGCCCGAACGACTCACACCAGGAAGAAGGGCCCGAACGACTCACACCAGGACGAGAAGCCCGAACGACTCAAACCACGAGGAGCGCTTTCTCTCCCTCCTCCTCCGCCTCGTCCTTCTCCCGCTCCCACCACAAGGAGGATGTACAAGGAGGCGGGAGGAAGGAGGAACAGGGGAGATATGCGGGGGCAGGCGGAAACACGCCTGAAAAACACGACTGTCGGCATGCTTCGCTAGAGTTGCTGTTTTGAGATGGGCTGGTGGGGATACGCGAAGCGTGAAGAATTACCAGACCGTGTCTCCCCCCCCCATGCAGCTGCCCTAGAAAGACGCCCCGAAGGCCTCCTCCTCCTCCTCCTCCTCCTTCTCCTCCTCCTCCTCCTCCTCCTTCTCCCCCTGCCTCTCCTCCTCCCTCTCCTTCTCCTCCTCCTCCTCCTCCTCCTCCTCCTACTACTACTACTACTCCTCCTCCTCCTAACGGCCAGCAGGCGCTGCTCGCACGAGGCCCCCCCCCGCCGCGAGGGAGGCGCGCCGCGCCCGACGGGCGCTCCTCGTTGCTGTTCAGCCAGTGCTTCACGGCCACGATGATGCCGGCGTCCTGCAGCGTCTGCACGAAGGGCTTGGCCATCTGGCTCCCGAGGTACGGGTCCTGGCATGCCGGCGGGCGAGGGCACGACGAGGCAAGACGCAGGAGGGGCTCCCCGTCCCTGCACTTCCCCCTCCCCCTCCACGTTCCCTCCGCATCCTCTCCCCCCTTCCCCCTTCTTGGCCTGGCCGCTCATCCCCCCAACCCCTTCTCCCCCCCAACGTCCTTATTCCCCCTATCGTCCTCTATCCCTCCCTCCCCCTTTCGCCCCCTTCCACCGCGCCTTCTCCTCTCACTCTCCCCCTCCCTTTCCCCATCCACCGCTCTCCCATCCCCCCTCCAGCACCACGAATCTGAAGTCGGAGGCCACGCGCCAGGTCACACTCGCGGAAGCTGGCAGCCAGAAGCCGCGCCAGACACCTTTCCTTTGTTCGGCGCCCGCGGCCATGTGCCCGGCAGCGTGGCGGTTTCGCGCAGGAAGCGCGGCAATAGGGGCGCAAAACGGAGGCACGGAGAGCGAAGGGAAAGGACGCGCGGAGTGCCAGCGCACCTGAGCCCAGCCTGGCTCGGGGATCTACTGACCCAGGAAAATCCGCCGACCCTGTCGGCGTGTGCGGGGTCTTGGCTGTTCGAGTCGTCGTCTCCGTCGGTCGTCGCCTCGTCGTCCCCTTTCCCTGCAGCTTCCTTCTCAAGCTCGTGAGCGAGAGAAAAATCTAGCAGTGTCGTAATCGAGTCGAAGGGAAGCCCCTTCCCTTCGATCCCTTCCCCAGGGGGGGGGGTCCGGGGGGGTCCCGGGGGGGGTCCCGGGCCGGGGGGTGTCCCGGGGGGGGTGGGGGGGCAGATTCGTTTTCCCTCGGGCGGCCTAGAAACCTCGAAAACACTCCAAATGAGGTCCGAATGCCCAAGATGGCCCCCGAGACGGCCCAAGAGGGCCCCGAGTCGCCCAAAGATCGGCCGAAAACGCCCACGATAGCCCCAAGACCGTCCAAGAAGCCTCCAAGACGTCCCAGGCCCCCTCCAAGAGACCCCCAGGAAGCCCCAAGAGGCCCCCACGAGGCTTCCAAGCGGCCCCTGAGAGCTTCCCAAGAGGCCCACAAACTACCCCCAAGAGGCCCCCAAGAGCGCTCGTCGTCGTCGTCGTCGTCGTCGTCGTCGTCGTCGTCGTCGTCGTCGTCGTCGTCGCCATTCAGGGTCGGCGGCACTGGCCGTAAGGCCTTCGCAATCCAAACATGGGTCGGTCGGGCTTTGCAAGATCCTGAAGGATCCTGCAGGGTCCTGCAGGCCCCTGGCGCGCTAGCCCAGGTCAGTGCACCCCTGGCTCTGCAGGATCTGGCGCCCTGACTGACCCCGTTTGCATCGACCCGGGCTGGGCGAAAGGGGGGATAGCAAAGGGGGGGGTGAGAATCAGCTCACGTAGCTGACTTTCCCGGCGCCTCCCGGCGCAGGGGGGCGCCCCATGTATCGAGGAATGGGCCCCGCGGCGGGGCCGAAACCAGCTGCATGCAGTGGATGTCGTGACCCCCCCTTTCCCTATCCCCCCCCGTTCGTCCGGCCCGATCGACCCCCGTCTCAAGGCTCCCGACTGGCGGAGGAGCTCGCTCTCGCCTGCGGCCAACAAAAAAACGCCCGCGCCGCTCCGCGCGGTCGGCACGCCGCCTCGAGGGGGCGGCGGCACCGCCGGGCGCCCTCCAGCACGCGGGGAGCGGGCACCTCCGTCGTGCTACCACAGCCGAGGAAGCGCAGTGCAGGTCAGCGGGGGCGGTATCTGCCCAGAAAACTTGCACACTAAGCTGCTCTGCGCTCACACACTGCGACGAGCGACGCGTTGGCCACTCTCACAGGTCAGTGCACGAACACACACACAGACACAGACACAGACACAGACACTGACACTGACACAGACACAGACACTGACACACAGACACAGACACAGACACAGACACAGACAACCACACACACACACACACCATACACACACACACACACGTTCTGACAGACCAAGCACTGAAGGGAGGAGGAAGCGGAGGAGGGAGAGGGAAGAGGCGGAGGCCAGGGAACGAGGAACGATGGGGCTTTTCAGGAAAGCCCCATCGTTCCAATATCCATCTCTCCCCCTTCCCCGAGCTCCCCGCAGGGCCCGCGCGAAGCGGAATTTGCGCTTCCGCAGAGGATGCCAAACGGCGAGGACAGAAACTGATTTGAAAAGCTCATGTTAATAGGGGGCAAACAAACCTACCTCGCTTTTGACCACCCTCGCTTCCAAGAGATACCAAGCGACGCCAAACTACGGCCTGTACCGATCAGGCCGCTTGACGAGGAGGCGCGTGGTATGACTTGGTTTTGCCTGGAAGCGAAAGCGGGGTAGGTAATTCACGCTCTGAGTTCAGCAGGGGTGTAAGGGGATCGAATCCAGCTGCTGGTTCCTGGCCGCGGCGAGCCCCGGCCACGCGTGACCTCCCCAGGATCTGCGGAGCGACCCGGAAACTCTGGCCACTCCAGTCGGGGCGTTGACCTAAGGAACCCGAAATAAGGAACGAGGCCTCTTTTTTCCATAAGTTAACCTTCGATTTCCTGTCGAAGACATAAGGAAAGCCTGAGGCAAGCTGTGAAACACGTAAGGGACGCGGAGCCCCTCCCCAACGAAAGCGTTCCTTCTTCAGGGCCCCGACTGTACTGAGCCCAGTGTGACCACATACCAGACCACCTCCCAGCCTAACCCGAAGACTCGAATTTCGGGTTTCGGGGGGTACAGGTTCCACGTGTTTTTCTTTTGTTGTTTTTTCCATTTTCCCCAGCCCCCCCCCCACCAGGAATGGAGAACACATATTGTGATCTTCGGGCTGGGTTGGGGTGGTTCGGTGGGCGGTGGCAGCGGTCCTCACGTCAGCGTCGTGCCGGTGTGCATCGCCCGCGCGGTGCTCCCGAGGGAGCCGCCTCGCCGTCCCGGCCCGGCCGCCAGCAGCCACGCGCTGCCGCTCCGCAGCAGTGCGCCGCTCGAGGGGGAGGCGAGACCGCCGAGCGCCCTCCCATCAGACCTGGGGCGTCGCGAACAAGATGGTGACGGTCGGCTTTCCGTGCCGTCCTGTCTGGAGGACGATCTCAGAAACTACAACTGGGCCCAAGGAACTGGTCGAGATCCTCGGGGACCTGCATCACGAAAGACACGCAACGTCGGAGGAGAAGGTCTGGCACGCCTCGAATCAGAGGAACAAGCAACGGCGTCAACAAGAACTGTCGGATCTGCGCTGGGCCCCCCTAGGTGGAGCCTCTGGCGTCGCCTCTGGCACGCTGCGCACGCCAGGGAGGGGGGTCCAGCGCCGATCCATGTTCACGCAGTTTCTCTTTTACTCGAAAACTGGGCTCGGAAAAAGCGGCACGGTTCCCAACAGCACAACTGTCGCCCCAGACTAGCAGAGCGGGCGCTGCCAGGCTGCCTCTCGATCGGACAGCGACCGCTGCACACACGGACAGCGGGAGTCCTGTCCAAGATGGACAGGTACAGCTGGCGACCACCGCCCCCCCGATCTCGGGTCGGACGAAAGTCGGCTACACGCAAGAGTGACACTAGGTAAGAGTGACCTTTGGTACGAGACTTGCGGGGGTCGCGGGGAAGCCGAACCCGAGCGCACACGCCGCTGCTTTCGCATCGCATTCAGCCATCGGGGGGCCCAGGTGTGCCCGCACCAAGGGTCACTCCGGCAAGTGGCCACTCTCACTTGAGCCGGGACCGACCGTCCCGGCATTCCTATAGTCCTACCACGAAATGTTCTTAGAACCCAAAAATGTTCCAATAACAAAAACGATGTTCTTAGAACATTAGCCCGATGCGGTAAACCAAGACAGACTCCGCCAGAAATGTTCTAAGAACATTTCGTGGAAACCACAAAAGGTTCTTAGACCATTCTTTGGTAGAGCTATAGGCGAGCCAGGACGCTTCGCCACTGCTTGACTCACGTATAGCCGAGAAAAGGGGGGGGGGGGGGGGGGCGAATCAGCTCAGTTGGCTGGCATTCCAGGCGGCGCCTCCCGGCGCCGAGAGGCGACAGTGCATCGAGGAGAGCGCCCGGCGGCGGGGCCGAAACCAGCGGCATGCGGCAGATGTCATGGTCCCCCCTTCCTCCAAGCCCTGTCTGTCGCCGGAGCCGGTCCAAGTGGGCGGGTGCTGATGCTGGCCTTTGCCCCCCTCCGTCCAGCAGGAGCGAGGAATGGCGGCACCACCACTACCATGAGGTCGGGATACCCCCAAAATACTCCAAAGATGCTCAGAAATAGTTTTAAAAAACCTACTATTTCTTGACTCTTTTTGAATGTTCCTCCTGTAGAGGGACAGGCCCGACTTAGCACTACCAGCGCGAGGCGCCGGGGAGGGTCCTCCCAGTGGTGTGGTCCCCCCCCCGCGCTCGAGAGACATTCCCCATCTCCAGCTCAGGGAGGCCTCGTGGACCCCCTCGCTGGAGGTAGCCCATCTGGTGGTGGTGTCGCCCGTCGGCCACGAGCAGAAGAGGGTCGGAGGGGGGAAGGCTTTCTAGAAAGAGGCTGCTTCTTGGAAGACGCGGGCCTTCCGTAGATGCAAGGCCCACGAATTCTGAGGAGTAGCCTCCTTCCAAGAAGCCGTTCCCCCTCCCCTGACCCTCTCTGCGCGTGGTTGAGCCTCTCCTTCCTCCGATTCACGTCTCGGTTTTGCTCGCGCCGAGGGTATCCTCACTGTGCCTCCCAGTGTCGCGGCGGCGTCCTGGCGACACGTGATGCCGTGCGAGCGGACAGCGTGTCACTTCGCTCCGCGGGGCGGGCGGCTGGGAAAGGCTCGGGACGTTGACGCTCTCGGACCGGGACGCGGACAGCGCGTCGCGCCGAAGGGTGGCGGGGCCAGAAACGGCAGCGCGACACGCCAAGCCAAAGTTCCTGACCGCAACGCCCCTGCCTCTGCTCGCGCGAAGGAGCGCCCGGGGCCGCACACCACCTCCGGAGCGGCCGAAGCGCGGAAGAGCTGCGCGCCAGGGCGGCCGGCAGCGGCGCGGCGACAAGGCGGCGAAGTCCTCGCCGGAGATGGACTCGTAGCTGCGGCCGCTCAGCGGGGCGCGGACCACGGTGACGTCGGGGCCTCGCGGCTGGCTGTCGGCTGCCTCCCTGCCCGAACCTCCTCTCGCTGCGGAACGGTCACGACGGGAGGTTTTCGGCGAGTTTCGGCCTCCCGGGCCCCTCACTGTGCCCAAGACTCGGGATGAAGAACAGGTCCAGGGGAGGGGCTAGGCATCTGGGGGTCCACGTCATGAAGAAAGCACGACGTCGGGGTCTGGGCTTCGCGGCAGTCTCCATCGCGCCCGCTCCTCCTCCACACCCCCCTTTCCTGTGGAGGGTCGTGCGCCCGCTGTCCCTAAGGCTGGAAGAGGCCACGCTCCAGCCCTTCGAGGCCTACACTTCCTGCTGGGTAAACCTCCTGGTCCGTCCTCCCAGGCAGCGCAGAAGGTCTTACCCCCTGGTCGCCACGGCCGACGCGGCCACAGGCTCCAGGGTCGGAATGCAACTCGGGAGGAGGAGGAGGAGGAGGAGGAGGAGGAGGAGGAGGAGGAGGAGGAGGAAGAGGAAGAGGAGGATGAGGAGGAGGAGGCTCGATGGTCGGAAGGGGCGAGCAATAACCATGAAACATCACGGTGCGCGGCGACGAGAACGTCGAACACAGATCGGGCGCAGCCCCGCAGAGAGGCTGCGGCGGAAGACCGCCTCGAGCCCCATCCGCACGCTCTGCCCTGCTTGGGGGCGCGCAAGCATAGATTAGCGATCCTTGGACTTGACGCGCGGTCGCCAAATCCATGGATCGGGGGAGATTCCCGCCCCCAAAATGCGGCCGGTGCCGCCTCGCTCGGCGGTAGGAATCCGTGCTTTCCCCTGGAAGCGGGACCCGTCGCTAATCCACGTCCCCTTTTATCCATGTTTGCGATCGCCTGACTTGCATTGTCATCATCGATCTTCCTCTCCTTCTTCTCATTCGCGGCGGCGCGCCGAGGACGGACACGAGAGGGGGCAGGCCTTCTCGAAGGCGGCGGGGCTTCTCGGAAGCCCTCCGGCCTTGCGAGAAGCCGCCTCTGTCTTGAGAGGAGGCTTGGGAAGCTTCTCGAAGGCCAGAGGAAGCCTTCCCGTGCATTTTTCGGTTTCGTGCGTGTTTTTCTTGCTCGATGTTCCAGGATGGTCCTCGATGGTTCTCGCTGAAAAAAATGCACACGTCCGAGCGATGCCAAGAAGAAGGCCCGCCCCCTCTGCCATCCCCCCTGGGCGCGCCGCCGACACTCGCATCCCTGTTCTCTCAAAATGTCCTGCAACTGGCTGCATCAGATATGACGCAATCGACTGTAGGGCATCGTCGCTCGAGGGCGCGACCTATGGTGCCGCCCTCGATCGACGAATCGTGACATGCCGCTCCGTTAAGATACAGTCGAGGTACTACCAGAAGGAACGCCAAGTAAGGAACAGAGAGGCCTTTCTGGCCACGGTGGGCCTAGGCCACAAGCAAGTCCCGCGGCATACATCTAAGACACGACCCAACTCCCCGAGCCCCTTCCGAACCCAAAGCGGTCCTTACTTCAGCGTCTTGGCTGCATGATGAACTGCATCAGTGTGGGTTCAGCGTGATGGGCCTTCCAAAAACAAAACTGTGGAGGACAGTGGCAAGGACAGAGTCCGGCAAACGACCAAAGTGAATAATCATGGACGCACGCGGGGAGATGAGGAGCTCAAATGTGGAGCAGAAGCGCTCGGCTACACCGTCCTCTTCCTCACACTTCTTGAAGGAGGGTGGGGGAGGGTGGGTGGGGGGGCGTCGGGCGGGCGGAGGCGGCCGAGGAGCACGTTGGCACCCTTCGCGCGGAACTCGTCTGCGAGAGCCTGGGGGGCCAGGGGGAGGGGCAAGGGGAGGGGGGCAAGAGGCTGCCTCGCTCCTGTTCCTCCCTTCGCGGGGGGGGGATATGCTTTGATAGAGATGGTGCTGCTAGCCATGATAACATTGATTCAGATGATGATGCCGATGATGATGATTATGATGATGGTGATGGTGATGGCGATGATGTTGTTGATGACGATGGGGATCCTAAGAATGCTGGTGATGAAGATGATGGTTCTGGCAATGGTGATGATGACGATGACGATGACGATGACGATAATGATGATGATGGTAATGATGATGATGACGAGGATGATGAGGATGATGATGATGATGCTGCTGATGATGATGATGAGGATGAGGATGATGAGGATGATGATGATGATGATACTGAAGATGATGATGATGATGATGATGATGATGATGATGATGATGATGATGATGATGATGATGATGATGATGATGATGATTATGATGATGATGATGATGATGATGATGATGATGATGATGCTGATGCTGATGATGATGATGATTTGGATGATGATGATGATGATGATGATGATGATGATGATGATGATGATGACGATGATGATGCTGATGGTGATTATTAAGATGGTATGGATGCTGATGATGATAATACCGATGATGATGCTGATGATGCTGATGATGGTGATGATGCTGCTGCTGCTGATGATGATGATGATGATGATGATGATGATGATGATGATGGTGATGGTGGTGAATATGGTGATGAGGGAGACGGAACGAAGAGGAAGGAGGAGAAGTGGAAGGGTGTTGTAATGCAGGCGGCTCTTGTTCAAATCCCTGGCCTCATCTGGCCCAGAGCTCCCCCCGCCCCCCTCCCAGATCGCGAACGTCGCAGGCAGACAGCCGCTGCAGCGCTCGTGTTCCCGGGGCCTCTTCTGGACGCCTGGCACAATCAGACAGCTGCCCCGGGCCGATGACCGATCCCGAAGATGGGGGCGAGCGCTCTGGGGCCCACGCCGTTGAAGCATGGCGCCGTCGGAGGTCCCCGCTCCCCTCCGCGCCACCCTCCACTTTCCGGACTGCCGCGAGGCAGCACCTGCCGAGGGAACCCAGACCCGCGCGAGAGCACCAGGCCCCCCGACCATCCCGGGTGGTCCGCGGCGCCTGTGGTGGCCGCCGCTCGTGGGCGCTGGGCGGCGGCATGCCGGCAGGTGCGCGCCCGGCGCGCCTGGCCCGTCTGGCCCCTTCCCAGACCCCCTCGCGGTGTGAGACAACCACGACGGGAGGTTTCCCACCATGTTTAAGGCGGGCCTGTCCCCCTACAGGGGGACTTTCGAGGAAGAATTAAAAATACTCCAAATTTTTTTTAACAAATGCAAAAAAAAAGTCTGGGAACTATGTTTGTTATTATTCTTTCACCTTTTGGGGGTATTTTGGGGGGTCTTTCTTATTTTTCGTAGAAAATCCCTCTGTACGGGGACAGGCCCGACATAAGACCATGTTCGGCCTCTGGGGGCCCTTGCCGGGCCCCGGGGCCGTCAAACAACGGCGCAGGATGAAGAACTGGTCCCGGCGAAAAGGTCCAGAGCTCCTGGGGTCGACGCTGCGAAGAGAACGGCGACGTCGGGGTTCTGGGTTTCCAAGGCTCCCTTCTGAGCCCATTCGGCGTGTGAACCGGTTCGGCCGCCGAGCGGGCAGCCGAACGGGCTCAAATCCAACATGCTGGTGGGGATCTCGCCGCTTCGGCGGCTGGATGGGCTCGATCTAGAGTCCGTTCGGCGGCCGAACGGGCTCAGACGCCGAATGGGCACAGAAGCAACCCTGGAGCTGCGATCATCCTGGGAATCCTGTCGGCGTGCCACCAGCACTGACTGCGCAGCCCCAAGTAGTCCTCTGCGCTGGCTTTCCCACGCCTCCTGTGACACATTATGTGAACACATGTGGCTTCCAATCTTCGCAGTGGCGCGGCATAGCACTGCTGTGCGACGCCTGGGCGAAACCGCTGAACACGTCCAGAACAATCCTGTACAGCACCTGAGAAGACTACGATGCGAGGCTGCTGAGCTGTAAGCTGCGAGAACCCGTATGTAGCTGCGCCACGTGGCCAAGCGGGCAAGGCATGGTCATCACCGCATCGGGCGCCAACGGCAGAATGGCTAGCCGCAGACTGTCTCGAAAGTTTCCCCCACGAGGGGCACCCGCCCTCCTCGTGCTCGAGGCGACTCTCCGTAACTGCAGCAGTTCGCAGACCAGGCTAAGAACACAGTCTGCATTCGCCGAGCAATTTGTCACCCTTCGTCCTGCGCGCCCGGTGAAAAAGCCTTCTCGGCGCCTCCGTACTTCTGGCGGGACGGCTGGGAATCCAATCGCTGAGCAGGCGCCAAGGCGCCAGTCACACGAACGAGACAGATGGACGCCATCTGTCTCATCAATTCGCAAGTGGCTCAAAATCGATGGGAACCGACTCAAATCACTGAACCCATCCATGCACCAACCGAGGCCAAGATCACAAATCAAGAATCGTGCTGGGGCCTCGAGGTCACCATACCCTGTGATAAGCATCTGACGCACTGCAGCGTCGAGACATTTGATGCCAGCCTCACCGTCGATCAATGGTGTGACGAGACTCATCTCTTGAACCCTCCGAGGTTATGGATGCTTGTTGTAAATGCCACCACCATGTATACATATATGCGTACGTAAGTATTTATGCATGTAGGCATGCATGCGTACATGCATGTATGTGTGTATGTGTGCGTGTATGTGTGTAGACATGTGTATATATACATGTATATATATATATGTATGTGCATGTGCACATGCATGTGTGTGTATGTATGCATGCATGTATGTATGCATGCATGCATGTAATTATGCACGCACGTATGTATGTATGTGTGTATGTATGTACGTATGTATGTATGTATGTATGCATGCATGCATGTATGCATGTATGCATGTATGCATGTATGTATGTGTGTATGTATGTATGTATGTATGTGTGTGTATGTATGTATGTATGTATGTATGTATGTATGTATGTATGTCGCACGTACTCAAAGGGGGTCCTCAGAGGTCACCAGCGAGCCCTAACGAGCCCTACGGAGCCTCTCGAGTTCTTGTGAGCTCGACGAGTGCACAAGCAGCACGCCGCAATTCGTACAAGTGGCCTTCCCAAACCTCCTCAGAGGGGTTGGGCGGCGGGCACAAAACTCTGGCAGAGTTATAAATATGATATGCAGTAACCACAGCCTCGATAGTTGATGGGCTGGGTGAACCACCTAGGCCAAGACGACAGACTGCACAACTCGGGATCTCGGCCTGGGGTGGATAGGCGATCGACCATAGAACATTACAGTCTAAGTAGTGCGAAAAGGTGTCAGGTGCAGCTACCAGAGGCGGTTCCCTGCACCGAAAGCGACACTCGCCGATGCCCGTCTGAACATGTAGGCGGCCAGACGTGAGCCATGCTCCTGAGATTGTCTTGATAACCGCACTCTGCCACGCTGGAGCCAGGCGCGAGATCGCCTCTCTCAGGCCGGCCCACCGCGCTTTACATGACACCACGTGGGAACGGCAGGCCCTGGGACACCCGACGCGACCTTCAACCTCGAGCCCCCAGGCCTTCAAACGTCGCTGAATCAGGAGGTGGAGGAGATCAGGAAAGAGCGAGGCGTGCAACGAGGAGTACAATGCTTTCTGCGTATGCACCCGCACGCCCCGCTCGGCAGCGTCGCTGCATGCACGGGCGAGTGCCATCCTCGCAGCGGCAGCGGGGCGTGCGAGAGCACGATCATTCACAAAATCCTCCTGTGCCGACGCAAGGAACTGTACGATGGGCGTGGTCTGCCAAAACGGCGGCGACAAAGTGCCGCTGCCAATTATCCAAAGACTCCCGTGGTCCTGGACCTGTGCCTGCAGCCATGCGTGCAGCTCCTTCCAGTTACTCACCGTGGAGAGGGCCGATCGCATGGCCGCCGCACAGCCCGTGGCCAGCAATGAGCGGATGCGAAGGCCAGACGCCCACGCACCTAAGGCCAGGAAGTCGTGCCTGCCGAGCGCCTGCGGGGGCATGCGCCACAGCTTGGCGGCCGCCCACCCTTCTTTGGCCAGCACCAACTTCGGGGTGGCCGCCAGCTGTTGAAGATATCCTAAAACAGGCAGAGCACGACGATTGTACAGTCGAGCAGCTATCGACGGGGGCGCACCACTCATCGCAATGTCCACGACTCGGGAGAACCACTTTGCCGCCGCCTTCCTCCAGATGTCCCGTTGTGTCGCACCAGGGCCGACCACGAAGCCCAGGTACTCCGCCTGGTCGCGCACCTGCATGCCACTCCACTCGCACAGGGCCTCGGCCAGCCATCCTTTGAGGTCTGCGACGAGCTCGTCAGAGAACTTGCCCTCCAGCGGGATCAGCACGCATTTGTGGAGCTTCAGGTGCAGACTCGCGAGCGCCCTCGCAGCTGCGAAGGCCCGCCACATCCCACGAAGCAGGTGGCGCGAACGCAGCACCACCCCAACGTCGTCAGCACAAACCCCGATGGCGGAGAGGCGACTGGCATCTCGATCCGTGTACTGCATCATGTGATGTATGAACGGGTTCATTGCGATGGCCCAGAGACTCCCAGACGACGGACATCCCTGCGCGAGCCCGCACGAGACGCACACGAAACGCACCATCGCGCCCGCGAGCTCCACGTACGCCGTGGGAAGCCAGTAGAGCGCCTCCAGCACGAACCGAACTCCTCCGACGAACCCCGAGCGGACCAGCATGAGCAGCATCCACTCCGTCATCAGAGACGGGAACGCGTCGCCAAAGTCGAACAAGGCCATGATGGGCTTGCCCGACTCCTGCATCCCCGCGGCCCTTGCAGTGGCGTCCAGCAGGCAGATATTGTCCAGGAAGTTGCAGCCCTGCAGGAAGCCCCGCTGTGGTGCAGGCGACGCCTTCTCAATGGGGCCCTTGATCCGTGCATTCACCGCTGATGCCACCAGCTTGCAGTCCGCATTCTTG